TCATGAAGCCAATTCTATTCAGGTTAGCCTAGTGCAGGGGTTTTCAAACTTTTTTTCTCATGACCCAGTTGAAGAAAATTGGTGCCCGCAGCCCAACATAATTTGACTAGGGTGTAGGCTCTGGGTGGAGCTGAGGATGAGAGCTTTGGAGCTTGAGCGGCTCTCCGTCAGTAGTGCAACGGGGAGGGCGGGCTAAGGCAGCTTCCTGCCTCCCCTGGCACCGCACAGCATGCTACGCTCTAGCAGCAAACAGCAGCAGGTTCCCAGCCAGTGGAAGGGCGGAGCTAGTGCTCAGGGCACGGGCAGTGTGTGAAGCCCTGTGTGCTCTCCCCCATTCTCACCTAGGAACCTGGCCTGCCTTTGGCTGCTCAGTCTGTGATGCCAGGATGGGCAGGTAGCTACCACTGGTCACCTGATCCCCCTGCAGCAACAAAACCCAGTGCCTGACATTCCACCCCCCAGAACTGGGTCACAACCCATCGTTTGAAAACCACTGGCTTAGTGCACGCACGAGGCAAATATTTTGCACTCTAAGTACACTTGCCACCACAGATACAAAAAAACAGTGCATCTGGAATGCTCCTAGACTATAAAACTGGACAGCTGGCAGTGGGTACAGATTTCCTGGGACAGCTATCTCAAAAAAGGGATGATCCTGAGAAAATCGGAACAGGTGAAACCCTATCTATAAGGCAGGGCCAAATCAACCCAGTCAAGTATGGCTCAGCAGTGTCAAGAGGAGGGAAGGAACTGTTCCAGGAAGCTCCCTCCCAATCGTTCTTTATTTTGGAAGGGCGAGAGAAAAGGGCAGAGCTGCCCCAAGTCATATTTGTGTGCATTGCTCAATAGTTGCAGCATCCCTGCTCAGGATTTCTAGTTAGAGGGACCTGAGCTTCCGACTCTGGATCTGAATGTCTCAGGAGTGCAGGGGTGTGTGCGGAGGAGGTTTGGAATCAGCCTTTCAAGAGAGCTCATTCCTGCAGTTTGGATCTAGCTTTGCAGTTCTCTGAAGATCAGAGGCATGAAAATTTAAGGAGTGAGTTCAGCCCCTGCTCTGGAGCATCTTGGGAAAGGAGAAAGAAATGTTACATGCTGTTTCTTTAGTGGAGAGCTGATTGCATCCTACTGTGGAGTGTCGGGCCAGGTCCATGCTGGCGGAGAAAAACAATGCAAGATACGTAACTCCAGCTACGTGAATTGCATAGCTGGAGTTGACATACTTTGCATCAAATTTTTTTTCTGGGGCAGCCCCACAGTGGGAGGTCAATGGGAGAAATGCTCCTGTTGACTTCTCTTACTCCTTGCAACAGTGCAGCATACTGCAATCAATAGGGGCAACCTCAGTGTTCGACTTAACGGGTCTTTACTAGACCCGCTAAATCAAACTCTGGAAGATTGATTGCTGGTGCATCAATCCTCTAGTTAGTGGAGACAAGGCCTCAAAATCACTGTTCAGGAGAAACCTGAACAGACGGCAAAGATTTGGTAGCTGAGAGAAACCCCGCTCAGGATGTGTCAGTGATGTGACTGCAGATGTGGTCAAAGCTTGCTCTCTTCAGACAAGTTATACTCACCACATGTTGTCAGTCCTTCACAGGGGCTACCACGTTGTAATAAAGGGACCGCCTGCACTAAACTACCTGAACCATTCTAGCTAGGATTGTGCTGAGTGAAAGACAGTTACTACCAATGATACCCATGCAAACTGTGAAGGTAAAAGCCCCTGACTTTGTGGTCTCCCCCATCAGGTGTGCTTTGCACTGAGCATGCTGGGTAAGCCAAGGGTGGTGCTTTTGGATGAACTATCGACTGGAATGGACCCCATGGGGCAACATCACGTGTGGTGAGTGGAGCTCACTGTCCGGAAGGGAGCATGCAGACGCGCTGTACAAGTGCTCCCTGTGTGTGTTAGAGAGACAAAGGGGGTAAAGAATACCTGGGATTGAACCAACTGCTGTGGGACAAGTCTTTGAGCCTCAGGGTAGGAGGTGGCCTCCCGGAGGTTCCCAGCACCACGAAAGAGAGGACCCTCTACTACACTCATTAGAGTACAGCCTGCATCACAAGTTTTGGGGGACATGTCTGCTGTGCCTTGGGGGGATGGTAGCAGGAGAGACGATCTGCCTTTCCCCCACCTGATTTACCTGTGACCATCTTCTAAGCACAAAGTAAACAACACCAATATCTGTCCCTTTGCTTTCCCAGCTGCCCTCCATCACTATGGTTCTAAATCTCCTTCTCTTCCTTGACTCTGCCCTTCCTTTCCCCAATCCCTTTCCTCTCTGGAAGTCACCCCTCACTCTCCATCCCAATGGTCTGGAACTCTGAAAGTTCAGTGAGCATGCAAGTTAAGCTATTTTGGTTAGCTTACTAGTTTCTCTGCTCATTATATTGTGAAAGGGCAAATGCAGTAGAGGAAAGTTTCAAGTCTTTGCCTTTTCTGGAAGTCAGAGCAGCAGTGCAAGAAAATACTCACAGGAGCGGCACATTGCAAATTCAAACTTACTTTTTGCTTCCAGGACAGCTGTTCGTGCTGCATTTAAAAATAAGAAACAAGGCGCCATCTTGACAACCCATTATATGAAGGAGGCCGAGGCAGTGTGTGACCGAGTGGCCATCATGGTGTCTGGAAAGCTTCGGTAAGCATCAGCAGACACATTAGACTGAGGAATAAAAGTGTCAACCATTAATACAGCTTTGGGTGGGGGGGATAAAATATAGGGACCAGCATTAAATAGATCTCGGCAAAAATCAGTGGTCAAGCTGTTGTTAAATACTTTAACATTATCAGCTGAAAAGCTTCTGAGGGGTAGCTGAGTTAGTCTGTAACAGGAAAAACTTAAAAAACAACAAATAATCTGGTAACGCCTTAAAGACTAACCAAACATGTCGATGGCGTGTTAGAAGTCCCGGTCATCTGAAGAAGTGGGTTGTGCCCACAAAAGCGCATGATGTCATTACCAGTTTAGATTGCCAAGAGATACTGTGCCTTCCTAGGGAGACTGTGGCTTAAACACAAAGGCTACGTCTAGACTGGCATGATTTTCCGCAATGCTTTTAACGGAAAAGCACTTTTTGCGGAAAAGCGTCCGTGCCAATCTAGACGCGCTTTTGCGCAAAAAAGCCCAGATCGCCATTTTCGCGATCGGGGCTTTTTTGCACAAAACAAATCTGAGCTGTCTACACTGGCCCTCTTGCGCAAAAGGACTTTTGCCCAAAAGGGAGCAGCATAGTATTTCTGCAAGAAGCACTGATTTCTTACATGAGATCGTTGGTGTTCTTGCAGAAATTCAAGCGGCCAGTGTAGACAGCTGGCAAGTTTTTCCGCAAAAGCAGGTGCTTTTGCGGAAAAACTTGCCAGTCTAGACACAGCCAAAGTGAATATATAGCAAGGGGCCAACAGCCATGCCAGAGCCTTCAGGGGAGGGGGATGGCTCCATGTTCCAGTAAGAGGCCTTGAGTGGAAGGGCAATCAGCTGTCTGTGCTGCCCAAACTGTGGCACGCTGCCCCCACTCCCAGCCCTTAGAACCACCGGGAGTGTGTCATGTGGTCTCCAGCAGCGATTTAAAGGGCACAGGGTAGCGGCAGTGGTGGCCGCAGCCCTTTAGAATTGCCGGGTCCTGCAGCAGTTACCCCTTCCCCTCCCTGCCGCCGTTGGCAGGCCTGATGTACAGTCTTGGAAGACACAGATTTAGGAAGAATCTGAGCTAGTGCCAGTCCTTCCCCTAGAGAACTAACAGAAACACTCATGAATTCAATTGCTGTCTTCACATCCTGTGCTTGCAGTTCCTAAAAAAGAGTAGCAGGAGCCCTTGCTTAGTGTTTCACTTGGTGCGTCTCTCCTCGGCAGCTGTATCCAAGTTTGGCAAAGGTTACTTGCTGGAAATGAAAGTGAGGGACCCAGCACAAGCTGATCTCATCCATGCGGAGGTTGTACGCGTCTTCCCTCTTGCAGCACGTCAGGAACGGTAACTTCCAAGGATGCCACGGCCCTTATGATAGCGCAATTGCTCGTCTGCTGCCGAGGATACCCAGTGGGCTTGGATGCTATTGGGATGTGGGTGCAATAGCTGTTGACCCAGCACTGGGCTAATGTAGAGATCTGAGTTTGTCCGAGCTGTATGAATCCCAGCGCCCACAAGCCAGGGATGACACGATGGAGAGGGTAGGACACTAGCTGAGCTCACTCTCCCAGAAGGGTGACAACTGATTAAAACAATAGGCCTAGGAAGATCATTAACAAGGATGAGTATTAATTATCATCAGGGCCAGAAGAAACCGTAATGAAGTTAGTATGTCCAGTTCCGTATGCACTCCTTTTAATGTAACCTATGTCTTGGCTCACTGAAGAAGGGAGAGGGGCTACCACCCGCCTAGCAAAATAATTTTTCCTAATTGCCAGCTTAGACCTCCCCCGCTACAGCCTTAGAGTATTTCCTGTGCAAAAATGCCTGGCTTCCTAATATTTCTCTTCTGAACCCATTGATATTATTTTGACTGTGTTCCATTAGCATCCACATGTATTAGATGCTATATCGCGACATACAGTCCTACCTCCAAAGAGCTAGCAATCTGAATGACAAAAACAGGTGCAGGGTTAAGAAATGGGATACACTGTACACACTGAGTAGGAAGGCTGCTATGTGTCTTCAGAAGACAGAAACTCATTTCTCATAGCTGTATACTTTAAATTCAGAAAGAACCATTATGGTCAGCTAGAGTGAAAACCTAGACTCTTTGAAGTCATTGGCAAAACTCCCATTGACTTAGTCTGAGCTCCTGCATAGCACAGGAAATTGAATTCCACCCACTGATTCCTACATCAGTCTTATAACTTCTGGCTGAGCTAGAGCACAGCTTCTTAGAAAAAGATCCAGGCTTCATTTAACGATTTCCAGGGTGGACGAGTCCATGGCCTCATAGGTAAGTGTTTCCAGTGCTTAATTACCCTCTTTGCCACAAATTTGCACCTAATATCTACTTTGAATGTGCCTAGTTCAGCCACTGGGAGTTTTTACTCTATCCGTTTGAGTCAATGACTCTTGGCACTTCCCACTGTACAAATTGTTCTTGTCTGCTATATTGAAGAGCCGTTCATCAACAGAAATCTTCTCCCTGTGCACGTGCATGTCAACTGTGATCGAAACATGGCTTAAACGTTCTGGTCACCTTCTGCACGTTTCTTCTCTCAGGTATTCCTCTTTGATGGTCTATAAGATACCAATGGAAAATGTACAGTCCCTGTCTCAGGCCTTTCTCAGTTTGGAGGCAGGTAAGAGGGATGTTGTCAAACGCTGGAATATCTGTAGGAAGCTGCATTTTAAGTTGTCTGTGTTGCTGTCAAACCAGTTTGGGCCGAGCCCTCTGTGGATGTAGACAGGCCTGGCTGTATTCAAGTCTACAGAGCTATGGCAGTTTAAACCAAGCTAAGGTTCTGGTCCTCTCAACTCCAACTTTGGGGCCTACTGAGCAGTCCAACGGATGCTCTGAAACAGGAGTGGGGGGCGGCCACACACGGTTCGTCAGGGTTAGCCACTGGCAGGGCGCCAGATGCCTGATTTACCTGTATGTCCATGGGCACAGTCACTCACCCCTCCCCATAGTCATGGTTCACTGGTCCCAGCCAATGGGAAGTAGGAATGGGAAGGTCCGAGCCAATGCAGGAAGTAGGTGGCCCAACCCGCGCCGCTTCCCACAGTTGCCAGGAACGGCGAACCACAGCGACTGGGAACCATGTGCAGTTCTGTCTGTGCATGCTCAGGTAAACAAAACATCTGGCAGCCCGCCAGCAGCTGACCCCTGAAGCTCCGCGTGCGGCCTGTGAGCCAGAGGTTCCTCACCACTGCTCTAGAATCATATAGCTGGAAGACACCTCAGGAACTCATCAAGACCAGCCCCCTGCCCAAGGCAGGACCAATCCCAACTAAATCAACCTGACTGCTCCTGACCGCTCCAGGAGGGGTGCCTGTGGAAGGCAGGCATTATTAGAGGGGTGTCAGAGCAACAAACATCTGCTTTGATCACCCGTCATGATGATGATCTTCCTGAAATACGGATATTCCTCTACACTGAGGGATCATGTGTTAAGGCCAGGGCACCTAGAGTAAATTCTTGAAAGCACCTAAGTCCCATTGATTTTTTCACTAAAGATACATCTACACTGCTGTAGACATAGAATAAGCTATTGTGGAAGAAATACTCCAAAAATAGCTTATTTATAAATAGCACGTCTATGCTACAGGGAAGCCTTTAAATTAGTTTGAGGTAGGCTCCCCTGATGTGGACGTGCTACCTCAATTTAGAGCCCCAAGAAGCATTGGGGAGTAATTACTTTGAATGGCCTGGGGGAGGAGCTATTTCGAAATAGGAGCAGTGGAGCGTCCACACTACTGCTATTCTGCAACAGCTATTTCGGAAGAGACGTTATTCCTCATGGAATGAGGTTTACAGAATCCAGAATAAGCCGCCCGTTATTTTGAAATTATTTTGAAATAATGGGCTTGCTGTGTAGACACACACAAAGTTATTTTGGAATAACGTCCATTATTCCGAAATAATGCTGCTGTGTAGATGTAACCTCATGCTTTCTTTCTCTCTCTCACTCTTTTTAAGAGAACTTAGACTCCTGGAAAATGATACGCTTTACTCCCTTCCTTGCTACCTAAGGGTACGTCTAAACTACATGGCTCCGTCGACGGAGCCATGTAGATTTGTGTTTTTTTGGCAAAGGGAAATGAAGCCACAATGTAAATAATCGCGGCTTCATCTAAATTTACATGGCTGCCGTGCTGAGCCGACAAACAGCTGATCACCTGTTTGTCGGCTCAGCGCGCTAGTCTGGACGCTCCCCTGTCGAAATGAAAGCCTTTTATCGACATCCCCGGTAAACCTCATCCTACGAGGCATAACGGGGATGTCGATAAAAGGCTTTCATTTCGACAGGGGAGCGTCCAGACTAGCGCGCTGAGCCGACAAACAGCTGATCACCTGTTTGTCGGCTCAGCACGGCAGCCATGTAAATTTAAATAAAGCCGCGATTATTTACATTGTGGCTTCATTTCCCTTTGCCTATCTGTCTAATCTACATGCCTCCATTGACGGAGGCATGTAGTCTAGACACACCCTAAGGTTTCAGGGTGCCCACTTCCTGCTTAGACCACACATACAGGAGAACCGAGAGGGTGACTCTTTAGGTAGAAAAGTTTGGAGATAAAATCCTTGCACCATGGAAGTCAATGGAAGTTCTGCTGTTGACTTCAAGTGCGACCAGGATTTCCTCCTGTTTTTTCCAGTAGGACTGAGAGAAAAATACATTTTTTCCAAGCAAAAACTACGTGCTTTCCTCAATGGTTATGTTTGCCATCAGAATGCCAACCCACCCCGCTACCCAAACAAGGCAATTTTGGCCTAACATTTTACATTTTGGGGGCTAAAAATAATTTTCAGCAAAATGTCGGTATTTTCTGTTGAACACTTTGACCAAGGTGTAAAAAGAAATCATTCTCCTCTCCAATTTCTGCAGTGGGAAAAATATTTCTGGTCAGCTCATGTCCAGTGTAACTTTGCACTGCCTATCAGAGAATCCTAGCACTGTAGGACAGGAAGGGATCTTGAGAAGTCATGGCTCCATACCCCTGCACGGAGGCAGGCCTACATATTATCTAGCCTAGGGGTGGCCAGACTGCAGCTCGTGAGCTGTATGCTGCTCTTTTGCAGTTACAATGTGGCTTCCAGAGCCCCCTCCCCCTGAGCCCCCTCCGACCCCACCTGCCGTTCTCCACCTACCAGGCAGGGGATAGAACTCAGGGCTTTTGCCCTCCGGTGGTGCGGCAAGCAGCTTCTGTCAGAGATCACTGCTGCCTATCAGAGCGGGGGGAGGGCACCATTTAAAGGTTTGCGTGAGTCACACAGCGCTTGAAGAAAACTAAACAGACGACTCGCCACATGCATGAAGAATCAGTATTTTAAGTCATAAAAAAATCTGTTTGGGGGAGAATTCTTACATGTCTTCATTTTTTGTCCAGCTAAACGTACCTTTGACCTGGAGGAGTACAGCCTTTCTCAGTCCACTTTGGAACAGGTACAATGTGCTGTTCATACTATTTAAGCGATGGTAGCTGAAAATACAGTGTGTAAAATACAGTGTATAAAAATGACCATGTTTGATGTCACATGAAGAATGTCAGTGTGCAGCTCAATCCACATGATACTGATACCTTGTTCTTACCCGGCAATTCTCATAGGTAGATTTCAAAGTGTTTCACCAAGTCGGCCAGCAGCATTGTTTTCATTTTATAGACAGGGAAACTGAGGCCCAGGGTGGTGAATTGCCCAAGGTCACCCAACAAATCAGAAGCAGGGCTACAAATTGAACCTTCATCTCCTGCATCCCCATCCTGTGCACTAGGAACGCTAGCTCCTAAATGAAAGATCTGAGGGGGAGCTGTGTTAGTTTGTCTCTACAAAAAGGAGGAGTCCCATGGCGCCTTAGACTGACATGTTTATTAGGGCACAAGCTTTTGTGGATAAAACCCACTTCATTATCAGCTAGAGGTATAAAGGTTTTCTCAGCACTGTCGATCCTCTGTACCTGTCAGAAACAGTACAATAATTATTGCAACACTTTGTGATTTGATGTAAATGACACTGATATACCAGTATTCAAAAAGAAGGTCATTGGTGAGTTTGCTCAGTTAGAATTTGGTCCCGTGTGGGTTTTTCTTCCCCACTTGACTGAATTATTTCATCCGCGGATCAGTCGCATCTTATTGGGTTTGGTGTGCAGAAACACTCTCTTGTGTTATGTCTTTCTCTTAGGGTATGGCTAGACTACACAGTTTTTCCACGATATCCCAGAAGAACTGTTCCACGTCCAGAGAACGTGTTTGCTCTTTCACTTTTTTTTTTTTTGCGGAAGAGTACACGCGCTCTTTCGGAAGCCCTTGTATTCCTTGTTCCACGAGTAATAAGGGAGCTTCCGAAAGAGGGTTTTTTTCCGACATTTGGTCCAGTCTAGACAGGCCAAATGTTGGAAAAGCCTCTTCCGACAAAAGATTCGGAAAAACTATGCAAAATGCGGTGTGCATTTTGCGTAGCTTTTTCCGGAAAAAAGATGTAGCCTAGCCGTACCCTTAGTTGCAAGATCTTCTTTGTGTCAAAGCTGATTGTTGGAGACATAGTTATAAATCTAACCAGAGTAATTTGATCTTTTGTTTCCAGTCCTGGGAACTAATTAGACCCTTCCTTTAACTTTCATGTTTCAGGTGTTCTTAGAGCTTTCAAGAGAACAGGAGGGAGAGGATTTTGCTATGACTCCAGATAATACAGCAGAACAGAAACTCCTTCAACAAGATGATCATTAAAGCTCTGCACCAGTGCCCTGTATCGCTATTACAAATGCTATTAGCATGTCCAATTACATACTACGTTAGAGCCAGTATATCAGTATGGTAATGATAAGGCAGAAAAGTTCAGCTAGTCATCATGACAAATATTTTTTATGCCCACATTTCATTTTTGACCAGAGGATACAGTGTGAGACATGGAGCTGAATTAGAAAGTGGGAGCTGAATTAAAAAATTGGACCAAAAAACGGTTGGCCACCAATAACAAGAAGAGAGAACTCATGGGCAAAATCAGACTGATTCCAATCTATAGATACCACAAGGCGGAATAGAAGCCTAAAAAGCCACCTGTATAGAAATGTAAAAGGGATATCACACTTCTCACACAAATACAGTGGAGTTTTCAATTAAATACTAGTGGTGAAGTGACTGCATGTATAAAACCCATCGGCAGGAATTCGTGTATTGCAGTGATGAGCAATGAACAGATGGTTGGATATACTAGGTCTGATTTTTCTTTGTAGATTGATGATGGTTTTAGTCCTCTCCCCGCAGCTAAATTATTTAGATTTGCACCAGTGTAAGTAAGAGCAAAATCAGACCTATAATCAGTTTCTTTCTGCAAGTGTCCTGGGTTTTTTTCAGCTTCCCTTACCTAATGCATGGAGGGATCTCTCGTTAACTGAGCAACCTTCTTAACAGTCCAACAGAGAGGTCACCTCTGTAGGGAAGCACAAGTGCTTTTATGGGATTAGAATGGTCAGTCCACCAACTGAGCCTGGTGGCTTTTATACTAGTCTCAACAGTCTACTAGAGTGATCTCATTACTGCAGGATTCTTTATATTGTTGGACCTTCAGGTGACTCGCTGCGAGGTATGTTCAATATGCGATACTTAGAAACATGTTCTCATCTCGGATGTTAATGGTAGTTCTGTTTGGCTGTTCCTTGACATGCCACTTGGACATTTGCAGAGGACCAGGACTGATGTCAAAGGGATATTGCTTCTTCAGCTTTATTTGTAGGAGACAATGACAAAAACTTAAGAAGCAGTGCAATACCACTGGTACTAGTAGTAGTACTTGTGTGTGTGTCACTGATAAATTCCTAACTCCAACTTCATACGGATTAAATTGTTTACATGTGTAGCGAATACAATCCTGATAGCTATCATCAGTATCAACTGGAATTGCTGCCTGTTCTGAATTTCCTAGATGTCTCTCTCTTCCTGAGACCTTAAATAGCTACAACTTCTGGCCACACCTTCCTCCATCTCTACCTTATAATCCTTTGAATCATGACTTGGCCTTGCTGAGTCACACATTTGTGGCCTCCAGGTCGACTGTTGCGATGGGTTGTACCTGCCAAGCAACACACAATGGCATCAGCCAAGTGCTTCAAACACCAGCTACCCATTGTGCATGGAGTCCCAGGCAAGGATCGAGGGTTGTTTTTCAACACTGCCAGCAAGCCTCACAAGGTGTTACTTCTTGCGCTACAATGGCAAACTCCCTCAACAGAGAAACAAAATGGGTGAGGGAAGCCTGTGTAAGTGGCCAAAGAGTATTTCTCTCACCAGCAGAAGTGGGTTCTTAAAAGATATTTCCTTCCCCTGCCTTGTCTTGCAAATATTCCGTGGACAACATCACCACAACACCAGTGTATCCCTCAACAGATCAATTGCTTGGGAGTGATGGAATACTCTACACCAGATCTGCTTGTGGCTTAAGAAAACTACAACTCCTGATGGCTTGTATACTGTTGTCAGTCATCAAGTATGCCTATTGTGCGTTATCCAGCAAAAAATGTCTAATACCAGCTTGTTTATAGGAGAGAGTCTGAAAAAATATTGCAATAAAGTGTGGTTTGATGTGTTATCTCTCTCTCCTTGTCTAGAAAAGAAAATCTGGTATTGCTCTGTAACCGTGTACGGCTCACTAAGCTGCTAAATGTTCACCTTTGCTCTTTGGATTAGTGATTGCATGATGCTGAAACAACAGCTGAGATGACAAAGGACTTAAAGAAGCCTGCCAAGGCAAATTTGTGAAGATGACTGGGAAGGTGGCTCTCTTGATCACAGAGAGCAGCAGCAATGCATGTTAGAGTGTGAGGCAGAATCCTCTTTCGCAGTAATAAGGGATACACATACACCTCCCCCTTCAGGTTCCTATGGTTCGTGATTTCTGGAGTTCATTTAAATGGTCTAATTAAAAGGTGCCAGACAAGGTAAGTGAGGTCATAGACTCATAGGGCTGGAAGAGACCTCAGGAGGTCATCGAGTCCCGCCCCCTGCCCAAAGCAGGACCAATCCCAACTAAATAAATCCAGCCAGGGCTTTGTCAAGCCGAGACTTAAAAACCTCTAGGGATGGAGATTCCATCACCTCCCTAGGGAATCCATCCCAGTGCGTCACCACCCTCCTAGGGAAATAGTTTTTCCTAATATCCAACCTAGATCTCCCCCACTGTAACTTGAGACCATTGCTCCTTGTTCTGCCATCTGTCAATACTGAGACCAGCCTCTCTCCATCCTCTTTGGAACCTCCCTTCAGGAAGTTGAAGGCTGCTATCAACTCCCCCCCTCATTCTTCTCTTCTGCAGACTAAATAAACCCCTCAGCCTCTCCTCATAGATCATGTGCTCCAGCCCCCTAATCCTTTTGGTTGCCCTCTGCTGGACCCTCTTCAATGCATCTGCATCCTTTATATAGTGGGGGGCCCAGAACTGGACACAATACTCCGGATGTGGCCTCACCAGTGCTGAATAAAGGGGAATAATCACTTCTCTAGATCTCCTGGAAATGCTCCTCCTAATGCACCCTAATATGCCATTAGCCTTCTTGGTAATACAGGATGAACTTCTCTACTCTGGCACGCTCTAGTTCAGCAGTATCCATGGTCCAGCATGGTTTTAGTTAGCCAGATGTCCTTTTATCAGGGGTGTGGCCAAGTTTCCCATAGTCCCGTGAAGTTTGTTTACAGCCACCAGTCCTGGCACTCCGTGTTCTGTGCTGTAATTTAGTTCTAATTGACCCCAAATGTCTTCTAAGAGCCCAGTAAGTAGTGGAAGTATTAGTAATCCTGCTAGATAATATTGATGTCCTCTGGGTCAGCAAATTCTCCAGTTTGGTACCGGTCAGGTCCTGAGGGTATCAGACTAGAGAGGTTCAACCTGTTTTGTTTTTTTAATTGGACCAACTTCTGTTGGTGAGAGACACAAGCTTTCAAGCTTACACCAAGCTCTTCTTCACCTTGACCATGCTTCCTGTTGGCACTGGAAACGTGACACAGGAGATGCTCTAGCATTTTCTCATTAAAGTGGCTCTCTGGGAATAAATCCTAGAAATCTGATGGGGAGATTTGTAGGGGTTTAACTATGCCTGACGCTTTGGCATTCTGAACTCTTTGTTTTCATTTCTGATTTTTGTTTCTGTGCTTCCCCTCCCCCGTTTTAAACAGCGTTGCTTTTCTTTTTCTCTCCCCACCCTTATTCTCCAGTCTAATTTTGGTTTACAAAAAGAACAGTCTCTCTTAATTGTTGGAACGGCATATTTATTTATAATTCTGCCAGCTGTAAATGGGCTGTTTACTCATGTTAATAACCTATTGATCTCCAAGTGGTCAACACATTTTTTCTCAGTTCCATACAATAAGTAACTGCCTTTAAATGCCAAAGCAAAGTAACTAGGTACGTCTTATGGTTTAAACCTTCCTCTAGGGTTCTAGTGTTTATTTGGTCTGCACATCCAAGATAACAAATGACTTTCAGACAGCACACAATTGGCTATACTTTCTCCCCAATTCTGAGCTAGTGTCTGAGGAAGTTTAGCAGGGACAAAAACTCTGTAAACCTTAATAAGACACCAAACGGAATGTGTTCAGTCAAAGCAGCCGCCTACGCAGACAGCTGCATGTAGCTGGATGATGCAATTCAAGAACAGCTTCATCACTGAGGTGAAAGAGAGAGGAATCGGTTTTCTACCAATGAGAAAGTTCTGTGTCTTGGAACTAGAAAATCCAACTGACTGCATAGCTCTTTGACTCCTATATGTAGTATTGCATGTATGTAACTAACATGGAAAGGGACTAGAACTGGCTGTGTTGAAAACTTAAAAAAAAAAAAAAAAAAAAAAAAAGGAAGCTTGGGCTTTTACTTTAAAAAAGCACCTTTTGGGGGCAGGGAGAAAGAAAAATAAATGTTCTGGAAGACAATGACAGAAAATCAGATATCAGAAATGGTGATGCCCACAAACTTGTAGGGGAACGTTTTAACTTCCCTGGACATTCAGTAATGGATTTAAAAGTAGCTATCCTTCTACAAAAGGACTATATCACCCATTTACGGAGGGGGACAGCAGAACTAGAATTCACTTACAAATTCAACACTATCAATTTAGGCTTGAATAAAGATCTTAACTGGCTAACTCACTACAAAGGCAGTTTTCCCTCTTTTGATATTCACATTGCCACCTCAAATGCTGTGAAGGAGACACATCCACCCTGACTTAATCAGCCTCATTAATGCTGGCTCCATGATTGACAGGTAACTGCTTTTGCTGTTATATATACACCCTGGATTCTTTCATTTCCACTCCAACTCATCTGATAAAGCGGGGTTTACCCACGAAAGCTCATGACTTAATAAACCTGTTAGTCTCAGGTGCAGCAAAATTCCTGGAAGGCAATGAGATATACAGCTGGGAATTGCTCAACTCTAGGTTATCTTCTCAGGAGCTGTCTGTTACAGCCTTTTCCTGACCAGATTTGGGGATTCAATCAGAGCTGCCTCATGTTAGAGGCATGTATCTTTCCCTCCCTCATTGGGAATCATAAATAGAAAAGATGCTCCTGTCCCCAAGTTTGCCAACCACTTTTTGTGCCCGGCAGCGTCTCTCAACTTTGGGGCTGCTGGGGTTAGAGGAGGTCTCTGAAAAGGCAGGTAAGCGAGAGCCAAAGTTTTCTTTTAATTTTGAATGGACTAGCAGGTTTCGTTGATTCTGCCGGTGTACCCTGAGCTGCGTCAAGTGGAGCGGGAGATTTGGCTGTGCTATTTTTGTAAAGGCAATGAGGGAAACAAAGGAATGCCATTAGAAACCATTTTGATTCTATGTAATAGGGGCCATGCATACCAGCTAGGGCAGATCTGTATGAGCCTCCCATTGTTATCTGATGGGTAGAGGGGTGTTTTGCATCCTTAAAGGAAAAAAGAACTGCCAAGACAAATGGAATTCATAAAGAAAAAATCCCACTGAATCATGTATATAAAGGAGGGTGGGCTGCAAAAAGCAGCCAATTGCCTCCGCACACAGTGTCCCAGAAAGGACTCAGGGGAGCGTAGGGAAAATAACAAGAAACCCCAGAAGGGAGCACTCAGCTGGTCTAATCCAGCCAGTTTAAAAGTTTTAGGCAGATCAAAAGGGAAAAGCAAACTTTAAACCCTTGGCTAATGAGGACAGAAACGTCCACCTGCTGGGGAATAGGGGGCTCAGCTGCGTTGCTCTGTACTGAGGTTACAAAGGGTTGTGTGTTTCCTGTCTCCCTTTGCTGGGAGGTGGTCAGATAACCCACTGTCTTGGCTGGCATATTTGGAACAGGGCTGAAATATTCTTAGACGCGCACTATGAAAACCTTCCTCCCAATTTCTAGCCATGAGTCTCTAAGCAAGTGTTCAGTAAATGATAAGTGGACGAATAATGCCATCACAAGTCCTCTGCCTACTGGAGGGAAAAGGTGTACACACAGAAATACATTTTCCTGCTTAATACTGTGAATCTCTCTCTCGTGCTGATCCGTCTCACCATAGGATCTGGGCACCGCACTCTCTTTAATGAATTTATCCTCCCAACACACCCGGGAAGTAGGGAAATATCATTATCCCCACTGGAGAACACAGATAAACTGAGGCCAGGTCTACACTACCAGAAAAAGTCGACTTAAGACGCACAATTCCAGCTACAAAAATAGTGTACCATGCGTCGACTGTCTGTGGAGTCCCCACTGTGAGAGATTGATGGGAGAAACTCTCCTGTTAACTTCTTTTACTCCTTGCAAGCCGGTGGAGTACTAGGATCAACGGGGATGCCATCAGCAGTTGATTTAGTGGATCTTTACTAGACCTTTTAAATCAAACCCTGGAAAATCAATCTGTGGAGCATTGATCTCTGGGTAAGTATAGGCAAGAAGTAACTTATCCAGGGATACACAGGGACTCTGCAGCAGAGCAGAAAATTCTTTGGTCTCCTGATTCCCAGGCTAGCTCTGTAACATGCTCGGTCAGTGTTAGTGAAGCTGCCGTAACAAAGGCTGCAGCTCGGAGAAGTGAAGGGTTCTGCTTGGATTTCACATTACAACAGCGCCATTACACAGAGCACCCTCCACTTTCATTTGATCTTCCATTAGGAAAGATGTCCCCTGACTGCAGTGGAAGTTAGATCAGGTCTGGCTGGAGGCCCTCAGATGCTACAAAGGTGGAATTGAGCCATTCCCAAGCCATGGTGAAGTCCCAATATTCCTGCAGTGCCATGAGAACCAGTACTCTTTCCTTGCGCCTATATTAAATGCATAGGCCCTGATTTCATCTCCACTTTCATTCAAACAAATTGGAGGAAGAGCAGGCAGACATGGCAATGCAGAGCGTCCTGAGAAGGGAGCCATACGAGAAAGCCAGAGGGACAGCTCTCAGCTATTCCTATCTAGCCAGTTTAAAAGCTTTGGGCAGAGAAAAGAGGCAAAGCAGGGATCACTGATGTGGATTGTCTGCACATACCAGTGATCAGTTCCCTTGGAGGCATGTGCAGTTGAACAGAGTTTACAGGCACACAATCCTTTTGGAGAAATAGGTTCCCACTTGCCTTTTCTTTTAATTACCTGGGTTTGTGA